TGCAGGTTGCTTCTTCTTTTTTTTTCTTCATTTCAAGCGTGTGTCCAAAAACTTTGACTGGCCATATCCGCCGGAAGCACCTTAACGGGCTAGAACAAGTGCAAAGCCCCTGAAATTGAATTGAACCCCACAGAGCTACCCCAAATGGAGGCAGCAACAGTAGCAGCTCCAAACTAAACAAATCAATAATACATTGACCAAGACTTTCTGCTCAATTATCAATATGTCATTGGGTAAGTGGCGAACAATCAATTTTTAATACCCTGTAACCATAAAATAAAATCATAAAAGATACAAAAAACATCGGCTATAAAACATAAAACTATAAAATTTGATCAGGAAATTGATTTTATTACATATGTTAATACATTAAAAAAAAAAACAAAGGTTTATTAATATTGATTTCTATATTAGACAATTATTTAGCATGTAAAGGATAGATGTTAGAATTGAAGGATCTTAATACATATACATATAAGAACTTTAGGTAATTGTTGTTGCTCAAAAACGTACTTGTATTTCATAAATTCAAATCCTTTTACTTAGAGTAATGTAAATTAATTCTTATTAGTGTAACTTTATATAATAATATAATATGTATACTCCTTATCTTATATGTACATCAATTAAGAAGAAGGTCTGATCTCATAGTCGCATATACTTGGTTGTTTGATAAATTCCTAAATGAAGCACAGGTGGAACGCAGGTGTTTCCTAGTTATTTATGAATAGCCATATATGTATGAATATACAATCAAGTTTGTTTTCGTTCATTCCGCACAATTTCAAATAATATGTAGGCGATAAGAGGTATACAATCGCAGTATGCAACGATTTTATTATATGAATTGGGTATTGGGTATCTCAATTTGCATTACATTTCTTTCTACATATTTTTATTAAATATATTGAATATTTCAATAAGGATCTATTTCAATTTTTTTATAGAGTTAAGGTCAGTAATGTTTTATTCAACAAATTAAAAAGAAAGTCTTTTTTAGTTTATAAATTTACTTGAAATTATTAAAAAAGTATATTGCATATAGTATGTAGGTGTAGTATCGTATATAAATGATCAGTCTTATGTCAAAACGGGTTTTTATTAAACCAAAATATGGATTCGCATTATGAAAAGCATTAAGAGAAATCCAAAACTTGAGTTAAATGGAAAAAAGCTAAAAAAGAAGCTCTTCAGGGTCTCCTAAGCCCGATACACCTGTAATATGCTGCAAACATAGCTGCAAACATAGCTGTAAATAGTCACTCTAGGTCGCAGAGCGCATCCCCCTGCACGGCTTATCTAGTGCCTCAGCAAAGCGTGTCCAGTGCATGGCATAAACATGACAACTCGGTTCACGCCTCGACTTGAATTCGACACCAGATCGAGTGTCGAGGCCTTTGCACATTGCTGCTAATGAGTGTTTAACCCAGGGACAAAACTACTGTTAGAGTGCACGACAACTGCAGCATGTGCATTAGCAATTTCCCAGAACGCCAACGCATTTATCTTGGACAGAGCCAAGCCAACCCCTACGCCTACCCCTAGCCTTAATCGGAGTAGGAGCCACGCCAACGATTAGTCTGAGCAAACGTTGCGTTGCAGCCCACTGAAAATTTTGATCGAATTGAAAACAAAAGCAAAAACAAAACAAAACAAACAATGGGCGTAGTTTAAACATGCAAAGATTGTGTACTAGGCACGCCCTGGAGTGGAGACGCCAAATGCCACCTAAAGAATGGAAAGCAAGAGAAAGAAAACTGCAAACTGCGGTATTTTCCCAGCTCAACTCAACTGAGACGCCAGTTGTTTTGGCTCTTGCCTGGGAAAATAACGAATAAAAGTGCTCGATCTTTAAGTATCTGGGCGCTGTGGCACTTATCCAATAGATATGCAGCGCCCAGACGCTGCTGCAGACAAACGGCGATCGAGCTGAGACTGAATCAGTGTGCAGACGCCGCGCCGTGGCGGGGTCATTCATCAATTTGTGAACAACTGGCACCGCGATCAACAATGCTGTAATAAGCTGTAATAATAATAATGACAATAATAATAATAATAATAATAATAACAGAAATAATAATAACAATAATCATAAATAACAAATCAAATGTCGAGCAAGCATCTAATTAGGCTGTGGCATGTTCCAGCGATTGTTATCGCATGGCCTGAACTGTGCGGCATTTCGCCCCTCCAGCCCTCGCGCCCAGCTACCTAGGCCCAGCTTCCACGTCCAGCGGCAGCAGCAGCAGCAGCCACAGCAGTTGCCACAGTTTTCTGTTATTTATATGTTGACTAAAATAAATAATCACAGCGCTGATATGGGAAATGGCGCAATTAAAACACAAAACTCGCGCGTCGCAGTCAGTCAGACATGCACACACACAAACAGAGAGAGAGAGAGAGAGAAAGAGAGAGATAGCTATAGCTATGCAGGCCTCATACATACAGTTACACACACACACAGATAAACTCTTGCATGAAGCCTCGCTCGACTAACCCTCGTCCATTCCGTTGTCCGTCTGCCAATCTTCCCGACCTCTCTCTTTCCCTCTCTCTCCCGCACACTCTCTCTTATTTCTATAAATAGTTTGATATTATTGTCGTTGATGCTATATAAAATCATTCATTAAATCCGCATTGACTTTCATTCATTCGCGCTGTTTAATTGCATTCATTGCGTGGTCCAGTATTTTTATGCAAATGTATATTTAGCATTAGCCATTCACAGTTGCGGCCTCTTAATTCATTCACAATAGCTGGTGTAATTATAATGCAAACAATTTCACTGAATTTTAATTCAAAGAAATTTAATTTGCTTTAATATTTTCTGATTTCTATTTAAAGCTAGACAATTAGTTAAATTTATGTTTTTAAAGTTTATATTACAAATTTAAAATTTTTATTCAATATTAATGATAAGCAATTTTATTATTATTATTATTATTATTATTATTATTTTGTTTTTTTTTTTGATTCGTTTTTTAATGTAAAATTTTATATAGTTTACTATTTCACTCATATATTTTTTGCCAAACAAAATTATTCTAAAAATCTCTAAAACTTTTGGAAGTTTTTATAATGCCGAGTCAAAATCAAGTCCTAAACCGTGATTAATTAAAAATGAGAATTACAAACCTCTTGATTTAAAGAAATGTAAGCTTTAAAGCAGAATTTATAGTTATTAATATTTCCTATTGTAATATTTTGTGTTATAGTACTTGCAAATATCTGACATAGACCAATGAAAGCCTATTGGTTGATATGCCAAATCTAAAAAAATAGGAATACTTTTCGATTGCAGTACCTATCATAGCTGAAACTGGCAATATTAATGGGAATATTTATGAGCGAAAATTAAAAATATATTAAGCTATATGGGCATATTCATAAATCCTATCATATCTAAATCAGCTCTTTATATAGTACATATGCATCAAAAGGCTATTTATATAAGTTGATAAATGCTCATTTCCGAAAATGCTGCTGATTAAATAAAAAATTTATAAACAATCAGTGACGTAAATAATTAAAAATCCATACACAAACGTGAAAATTTCTCCCACCATTATTTTTGAGAAACGGAGATTATGGATATACATATGTATGAATGTATATGAGTCGAATGATTCAACGTGCGCTGCTTGGCTCTGCGTAATATGCTCATTACACACCTAAAATAATAATTGAATGTTTTGTAAATATTTGCGTAAATTAATTGTTGCACGCACTTGGCGCGGCCTTTGTTTTGGAATGAGTGAGAAAGGACCAGGGGGCAAGAGAGAGAGAAAGAGAGAGATAGAGAGAGGGAGAGAGAGAGAGAGAGAACGAGAGAGCGAGAGCCACCACGAGACAATCAACAATTAGCAGCGGCCAGCGAACGATGAAGAAATCTATCAGAGAAAATGAATTCGTGGCCCCAATTGGCTATGCAAAATCATCTGTCTCATTGCCAATGATGACGTCACAGCGATCATTTCGTTGGCTCTACGTCAATTTCCATGTCGTATACTTAATTGCTGAGAGGGAACGGGTTCTTTAAGTGCATCAATTGTGCGAGTATATGTGTGTGTGTATGTGTGAGAGAGGCATAAAAGTCGTTAAATGCAATTGCTAATGTTTCAATTTCAGCTCTTCCCCGAAAAATTGGCAATTACTCTGCCTTGGCACTTAGTCCAAATAATATATGACCTGGCATAAATCAAGGCAAATCCCCCTGCCCAGACATAACTTCTAAAAATACCCGTAGACATTAGAGCGAGTCTCTCAGCGTGCGCTGCAAATGATTCTTCATAATTGAATTACACGGCCAGGGACAAGCGCGTAAACATTTTAATTATACACCTCATAATCATTTGCTAGAGTGGGCGTGGAATGCGGCTCTTGATGCAGCGCTGCAGCAGCAGCAGCAGCAGAAGAGTTGACAGATCCTGGCTAGCTGACTGCGAACTTGATCAAATTTCTAAACTCAAATATGAAAACGAAACGATGCGTGTCGCATCTCCTAGTCTGCTGTGTGGGCAGGGCCCAGATCAACGACTCCTGCACCAGGAGGCAGCGGGTCGGCTAAATATTTATTTTGACAGCCATGTGGAAATGTCGCACATTGTGTCTGGCTGAAAATATATTTCTGCTACAGTTCCTGAAGGGAAATTTTGTTGGAACAAAATTATTTTATCTTAAAGAAATTCAATGATACATACATATTTATAGGGAGGTCCTAAGATATAGTATATTTTATATGATGTAGTATTTATTTTATAGTATAGTATTTTATATGATGTAGTATATTTTTTTAATATCTTATGTGATTTATATATAAAATATCGCAATGTCCTACATGTCCTCCATATATAGCATATCTTATAATAACTTTTATGATCCTACAAATCGTACTTTCCATATGGTTAAGAAATTTTATAAATCCTACACATATAACATTTGGTTAAGGAATGTTTTTAAATATATTTAGATAAATACATATGTATTATAGTATAATAGAAAATATATAGGATAATCATAGATGGGAGTTATATGTAGTTCAAAAATATTTTCAATAGCCTTTTCATTTTGAAAACTTTTGCTTTAATGTCTAACTGACAACTGAAAAAGTATAAATACAAATTATTTTTTTACTATTCGAGCTCCAGTAAAATTAAGCCCTTGGCATACGTTTACCAAAGAGACTAAATATAACAAGTAAGAACGTTGCAGTCGGGCGTTACCGACTGCGGAATACTCATTCACATACCATCAACAATTTAGTAGTTAAGTTTCGCTCTAATACTGTAGAATATACAGGTTTTTCCGATTTGCCACGCCCCAACTGGGCGTAGACACCTCATTTTTGGTCAGTTTTTAGAAAGAGATAACGGTACCCTAACTGCAAAGTTTGAATGCTTACCCTCAAAAAATGTGAAAATTACAGGGTATTTTTCGATATGCAACGCCCCTAAAGAGGCGTAAAAATTATTTTTGGGGAATCGATAGAGGAGGCTACCAGTAACTCAACTATCCAAATTTGAAGCTTCTAGCTATTATACTTCAGGAGATATAAACTTTTGCGGTTTGCCACGCCCCCTGTGGGCGGACATATATCCGACAAAACTTTTTGGTCTTGGGTGATCAGTCCGAGTATATATACAAAATTTGAGGTCTCTGCCATCAATAGTGTCCAAAATATAGGAGAATTTAAAAAATCACTATATCTTCAGGTCCGATTTGCCACGCCCCCAATGGGCGTAGATTTATAATTTATCTTCAGACTTTATAGAATCATACCATTAGCTGACGTGCAAAATTTCAGCATTCTAGGTTTACAACTTTAGGAGATACAGTTTTATCCGATTTGCCACGCCCCCAATGGGCGTAGATATATCCGCCATAGCTCGTGATCTTGGGTGGTCAACGCGGACCTACATACCAAATTTCAGCTTTCTAGCTCTTCAACAAACATGATTTCTGGTATATCGGAAAATTCATTTTCCGATTTGCCACGCCCCTAGTGGGCGGATCGGGAAAATTTTAACACTTTATAAATCGGAGATATACACGAGTATGTGTTCCAAATTTCAAGTCTCTAGCTTCGATAGCGCCGAAATAGATTGCGTTCATACGGACAGACGGACGGACGGACAGACGGACAGACGGACAGACGGACGGACAGCAAGACGGACATTGCACAAAACCAATATACTGATTCACTTTCGTGAATGAGTATAAAAACAAACTACATAAAGTCCACTACTATATAAGAACCCATGATAGTTTATACCTCTACGCAGTCGTAGCTGCTCTATAGGATTCCATGCTATGCATATAGACAGCCGCAGCAAGTGTGCATGATAGCCAGCCTCCTGCTCTTGCCTCAGCTCATGTTACAAGTGCAGTCAAAGCTAAATAAATCAAATTTTGAAGTGTGATCTCTGCTGGAAGGAACGAAACGAGAAAAAATTGAGAAAAAAATAGAATGCGACGCTAAGTGCAAAGCGTAACAAGATCAACAACATCATTAGAAGCATCAACACTGAGAACTGTGAGACTGTGGCTCGCGATTGGGGAGTTTGTGTAATTAATGCGCCACTGATCCTCTGGGGTATGCCAATTGACATTTAACATCAACCTGTGGTTGCCCACAGCCCAGGCCGAGGGGAAGCTGAAGATGAAGCTGAGACTGCAGTTCGAGAATTCACATTTTACTTATGCACGTTTATAAAATTTATCAAGAAACATTGTAAGCAACTGCGCAGAAAGTAATGTTCGCCCCCTTCCCTAAAATAGGCCCGAAAAAAATACTGTAGACACGCGCTCCACAGGGGACGCTGGCTGGAATTGGGGGCTCCATTGCTATGTCGGGGATTTTCAAGCTTCTCGCTTGCTGCGTTTGCCTCTGCTGCTTCTTCTTCGTGTAGGTAGGTTTACACGGAAGACAACGCTGACGTTGTCTATTTTTTGTTGTTTTTGGTTCGTTTTTTCATTTTTTTTTTTTTGTTTTCGTGTCATGTGCGCATTTCCATTAAGAAAATAATTAACATTTGTTTGTGGCCCGAGGCGAGGCCCCAGATGCAACGAGAGCAACAGAGCGACTGGTCCAGGAATGAAATCTGTTGAGCAGATGTCTGGCGGCTGCTGTTGCTCGTCCAATGGCTGTGTGGCTAGTGCCCGAGTCCTGCTTGCATTGCATTCCAATGCATTTATGAATGCATTTTATGCATTTTCAAAACACCTATTGAACTACATCAATGGATTCGAGCATTGGGCAGATTTTATGCCCTGCACTTTAATGGAATGTGTTAAAAATCTAAGATATATCGATTTTATGCAGATGTTGGGGGAAGACTTCTACAAGTACAGTAAATACATTTATGCGTATCTGCCTTTCAGTCAAATAATTAATCAATCAGACAGATTGACTGTCGATTTGTGCGATCAGTCATACTGTCAAATAGTCAGTCAATCACTCACTGATCCTGTTAGCTATTCAATCAATCTAACTCAACAGTACGACCAACGGTAGCCTGTCAATTAGTTAATCAGGTAATCAGGTTAATCAGTTAATAATTATTAAGTCAGTCTGACGGTCAATCAGTCAATCTGGCTATCCATCTGTCAGTCACCTAGTCAACTTGTCAATTGGTCAATCAAACAATCAGTATATTCAGTCAAATTTACAACAAATCATTCAGTTATTTAGTCAGGGGCTTGTAAGTCAGTCAGTCATTAGACTATTAATCAGTTTTTCCATCAGTCAATCAATCAATCTGTCGATCCTATAATAATAAGTAAGTCGACAGCCAGTCTGTCAATCAATCATGCAGTCGCTTAGTCTATCAATCAATCAATTAGTCTGTTAGTATGTCTATCAGTAAATCGGTCTTTTAGTATGTCTGTCAATCAATTCAGTCTGGCCTATCAATGTGTCGGTCTTTTTAACAATCTGTCCTTGAGCAGTAAGTCAATCAGTCAGTCTGCCTAGGTGCTGATCAGTCAGTCAGTCACAGCATGCAACTTAGTTTAGTATTTCTTATAAGCGAAATATCAAATAAAAAGTCTTCCATATCGAGCTACTTATAGATGATCGCGCTTACCCCTCTCAACCGATTTGGCATCATGTCAACCACAACAATGGTCATAAATGTGTTTATTTGATTACTTTTCGGATGGCACTCATTGACATCTAACAAGGCGTCACACACTCACACAGACACACAGACACGCTTAGTAACCGCCTACGCCTCTCGATCAGGTAGTAAAAATCACTTTCACACTTCTGTCTTTGAGAGAGAATCGCCTGCTTACCTTTCTCTCACACGCATCTCTCTTGGTTTATTACCATTTCCTCATCACATCCCTAATGCTAATGTTTTGGATTATGTGTGTTTGGGCATTTCCGCTGTAGAGTCTTCTCGAGTGGCCTTTGGAGGGCTACTTGGCATGGCTCACACGTGCTGAGCGAGCTGCGAGGTATTATTATTATTAGTTTTATTGGTTTTATCCTTGGCCACATCCTGGCCGGCATGCCGCCTAGCATTTGCCAACTTGTTTTCCTTCCCAGCGATCCTTGAAGAGTTTCAATTCGGGTCTCCGCTCGATTTTTGTTTCCTTTTGAGTTCTTCGGGCGGCCTACTTCCGTAGCGCCGTATTAGACACGAAATATTTGAGCTATTTGCCTTCGGCTCTTGACGTTGTTGTTTTTATAGCGATTGTTGTTGGCAGCATCCGCTTGGGCTACTGTTGCCCTGCAGCTCTTGCCGCGTGGGCGGAACTCGAGATGTATTTTAATGGCTTTCTCTGTTTGCGTATGGCCAACTAAAATAACACTTTCGAATGCACATTTTAATGATTTTTAAAGCATTCGACTTACGCTCTGTCCGTTTTATGAGCTACGTAAAAATAACTCAAAATTAATACCAGAAAAATACCAAACAATTGTGCGTCCCGTCTTCATCGTAAAACTGCAAGCAAATGCCTTTTCTCTATTCAATTTCCATTTCCATTTCCAGGGAACAACAACAGCCGTAGACAGGGTTTAGCTTCAATTTTCGATAATTTTTGTTTAGGGAAATTCAAAATGAAATATAATAATAATCATAATGCAGCTGCCCCCCTCGCCCACGCTTTTCACATTGTGGACGTCGCCAAACTTCCGGGCCGTGAACGGTTTGGTTTGTTGAGGTTTTTCCTTTTGCCTTTGGGGTTAAATCATAAAAAGACGAAAATAATAAACAAAAATTTTCAATTGAACGTGAAGGAAAACTCGTAATGCGCATAAAATGATTCACAATACAAATAAAGGGGGTCTTCACACATCTGTGTGTGTGTGTGTGTGTTGGGGATGGTGCACTGTACAACCAGCTGGCCAACAACGCGGAATTCTAATGAAATTAGCTGTGTAAATATGAGCACGCTTTGCTGCTGTTCAACCTGGGCGAACCTGCGCCTACGAGAGAAATATTACAAAAAGAATAATAAATAATACATTGCGTGTAATTGCTCATATCGACTGGCTCGCTCCACACTCGCTCTCGGCTCAGTGGCCAGTTCCTGAGGAAATGCAATGGATAGCCCAGTCGGTGCTACAGCTGCAACAATAAGCATTAGGAATTCTCCTTTTTGCATGCCAGTTGGCCTGTTGTTTTCCCCTTCTTCTTCTACATATATGGAAGCAGAAATTCAGCCATACAAGTCAATCATTAGTGCGTTTATTGCACAATAATAGCTTGTTCCGAGTACTTTAGTACTCAGATAATAACTACTTTATAATTGAACTCCATAAAAATATAGGAATTGATGAAGTGTCTAATATATGACTTCTCTGGTTGACCCATTGATCTAAAATGGAGAGAGAGAGAGAGTAAGAAAGAGAGAGATAAATGGAGAGAGAGAGACAGAGAGAGAGAGAGAAAGAAAGAGAGAGAGAGAACTCCCTTGAAATGCGTCGAAGGTTGATCGATTTTGTGTACTCATATAGATGTTTGAGTAAATTCTAAAAAAATCATTATTATATGGGCATATTTTCTCTCTTCAAGACATTAACAACTTAAGAGCTAAAATCTAAAACGTTTCTAGCATTGCTAAGCTTCCAGAGTTCAGCAAGCTCTCACGAAATCATAAAATTTCTATTTTCAGTTTAGGGTTTTAACTTCAAAAAGACAGGAAATTCAGTTTATGGGAGCCCCGATAGTCAAAATAGAGCCATCATAGTTTATTTCTATAACTCTCTCCAAGGTTTCATAATTAACATATTATAATCTAATCATACAATGATTCTTTCATATATGTAAATACCATTTTAAACAGTTCCTAAGAATAGAATTAGATAGGAATATATGTCAATAAATCTATATCGAATAGAAATTTCCTCTGCTGGCTGAGGAGCGGTGCTTCATAATTAAAGTCAGAGTTTATTTGATTCTCTTACAAGTTTATTATATCGTACTATGGGAGTAGTCGGAGCCGCTGAAGGCTTCATTCTGTTTGTAACTCAATGTCTCACTTTGGCTGCATTTGTTGCGCTGTCATAAAACAAAGGTGAATCACTTTATAATATCAAACCAAAACTGACCCAAGAGAACTGTAACAACAATGAGAGAGGGAGAGAGAGAATATACACTAAGGAAAGTGATTAACCTGTCAACGCCATAGAGCAATCAGCGAGTGCTTCCAAATGTTGCCCCAAGGAGGAGTTGGCCATGCGGAAGGGTTGCTCTCGCTGCTCCAGTTTAGGTAGCCGTTCAGCGTCTACAGATTTACGACTAGAAACGAGGCCCATAGCCATTTACGAATCGAACTGAACTGAACCGAGCCGCACCGAGCCAGAGTCAAAGTGCGAGCAGGCGAAGACAACAACTTGACATTTATGTGCAGGCAAATGCAATTGTGTAAGTGCAAGTACTCGATGCACATTTCAAGATCATTTGCATCCACATGCCATGCGAGCAGGCGGCACACGTTTGCCACGCCAACTCACACATACACACACGCACACTCACACAGAGAGAAAGAGAGAGAGAGAGATGCATTTGCCCCTGGAGAGGCATTGAAACAATTTGAACAGAGTGCACACTCAAGCCTCGCAGCGCTCTTCGTCCGGGTTTCGACTTCCACATTTTATGAACTACGAAATGTGCAATTTCTACGGCTGCCGACCGACTTTTTACGAGTTTTCCATCGGTCCCAATGTGCGTTGCATCTGCCACATTCGTTGGCCCAGTCCCAGTGGCAGTCGCAGTCCACTTCAGAAATTCCGCCGTCAGCCACATGGAGTCACTCTGGAGTCGTCTCTTTCGTTAATTATTCCACCACGGCATCTCCTATGAGGCAGTATGTTTCCAGTATATTCCCTGCCTCATGGACATTTTCAATGCGCCCGTCTAACACATTTTTAATGTGCATACCTCCGCTGCTGCTGGCCTTTGATGATCCTTCGTTTCTTCTTCCACTCCCCCCTCGAACTTTTCACTTACATTTACATCTATTTGCTCTGCTCTTTTGTCGTCTTTTTTCGCATTACGAGTTCGTATTATGGTTGTCTATTTTGGCCGAGAAGATTTTATTGATTACCATTTGGACTATGCGGGCCTGGCTAATAGCCCGCCGACAAATGTGCCAAATTGTGAATTGAAACAGGGAAGGAGGCAAAATGATTTACAAAGTAGAGATCAGAGAGTTTGGCTTGATATAATTTAATTATAATAATAATATAATTTAAATAAATTTGAGTAAATAGTCTTATCACTTTCATATAGGCATTGTAGTTTATAATAAATAAATAACATTTAATTTTTAAAAGTTTTATATAAACTCTTTAGTTTATAATAAATATTCTCGAAAATTCTTAGCTGAAATTTAAATTCCCTAAAAATATTTTTAAAATAGATTTTTAATAAAATACAATATTAAAAAATATATACAGTTAAGTAAAATATTTTTATATTATTTAAGACAATATTTCAATAATGAATATATTAAATGAGTAAATATATTTTTAATATATTCTTGAAAAAAAAAAAAAAAAAGATTTATAGTAAAATAAAATAAGAAAATATATAAAACCATGAAATAAAAAATTAATATATATTTTATCTTATTTAGACATGAATATATTTACAATCAATTTCTATTCACTTTTTCCTTAAAAATTCTCACTCAGCAGAGTTTCACTTGGAAAAAAGTGATAATATTTAAATACATATGTACATTCATATGTATATCTATAAATTGAAAGGACAAATATCAGGTATAAGACCTAAGTGCGGCTACCTCGCTATAAACAGAGACGAATTTAAACATTGACACTGATAAGACACGACTACCAAGAGGTACTTATGTATGTATATAGCAATAGTTGATGTTGTTGTCGTTTTTGTTGTTGCTGTTGCTGTTATTGTTGCTTACCTCTTGCCTATCGGAACTCATCAAATATGCGCGACGAGCCCAAGACAAAACGTTCCTTGCATTTATGGGATGAGAATAGTTTGTGGATAGGGAATATGTCATAGCAGGGATGGCTGGGAAACGAAATCATGCACAAGAGACGACAGTATTTTGATCATGCGAAAAACGCACGCAAAAGAAAAACATGCGCAGGTACAACAACAACAGCAGTAACAACAACAATGTTGCTGGAAAAGTGAGCTCGTCTCTTGTTGAGTTTTTCCTTACGCACTCGAGTGGCCAAGCAGAGGCAGCAACAGAGGCAGAGGCAGCAGCAGCAGCGGCAGCGGCAGAGCTGTGTGTGTGGGTGCAATATGGTAACCATATTTAAACACTGATCCCGCATGCGTATATGCATGCGTGTGTGTGTGTGTTATAGTGCGTGCGAGGGAGAGTGAATGCTTCACTGCTGCACAGCCAGAAGAAGCGCGAGGCAAACATACATATGTACATATGTATGTATGTGCACAAAATAACCATAGTGAGGGATTCTCTATGGCAGCGGCTGCAGCAGCGGCGCGTCGCTGGCGCTGACGTTGACGTTGAAGTGGACGTCGACGTCGACGTCAGACCGCTCAAGTGTTTTGTTCTCGTTGAAGTTTTAGAATTTATTCCGTTTCGGGAATTCAATGCAGACGCACGCGCAACGCGTTGAGTAAATCAAAGCAGCTCCGACAACAACAACAACAACAACTTTGTGACCGTTACAATTTGAATGTGTTTGGCGCGCTTTCGCAGTTAAATCAATCGAACAGACATTGCGCACAATTTGCATAGTGAAACCAAAAGGGTTTTGTTTTTATTATCTTATAATTTATCGTTTGCCATTTTTGGCATTGCATCGAACACTTTGTGTGTGCAGCTGTCTATTGTGCGTGTGCGTGTGTGTGTGTGCGCTTTAAATCTCTTGGCGAGTGCGCATGCGCAGCCAGTGAAAGTGCTGCAAGCGAACTCTCTCGTCTATGACAAACCGTTAAAATGCATCATAAATTGCATTTGTGAATTAGACAGCGAAATAATCGTGCTCAGATTGTTAAATTTATCGAACGAACTGCCAGCGACTCGGCTTGATACGATCCCAAGATGTTTCTAACTATGGATAATACAAATGCCTTCTTCTCAGGTAAACATATGAAATGAATGTAGACAATAGATGAATAGATTGATGGATGATATAGATGATTTAGATGAACAAATAAATTTAGTTAGATAAGTTGTAAAATGTTGGATACATATATGCACATATGTATAGATCGATAGATAGTTATATTAGAATGGTATTTGATGATCAAAGGGTAAAGATTAAACAGATAGACAAGTGGATAGATATAGTTATTGAATATATAATAGTTCTATTTATTTTAGATAGATACATGTTTCAATATAAAAATTAAGGATAGGTAGATGAATAGATTAGGTTGACAGATCGATAGGTATATTCATAGATAGGTAGATAGATTAATGGATAAAGGTATAAAGCTGTGTATATGTAGGTAAAGATCATAAACAAATGTATATATGTATTTATAAATATTTATTTATTTATCGATAAATAAATAAATATTTTTATAAATAAGAAAAGATGTGCATAAGTTAAGTAAATTCAATTATACAAATTTGATAATATTATAATAATTATATAATATAATGATTATATATTATATTACAAACATTAAATCGGTTTCCCAAAAGAAACCCTGAAAAAAAATTCCTTAAGTTATATTTTTAAGGCATTTTAAAATTAAATAAATGATCAATTTTTTAAATAATATTGTTTCTATATTTTTCTACAATTTTTTTATATTTTCGTCAAGTCTATGATTATATTAGATAAGCTTTACTCCTTACAAAAAATACAGTAATTATATAAATATATTTTATTGTTATAAATGTATTTGAACTGACTTCAACTTTACCAATTCTTTTTGCACTTTCAGATAATCCGTGCTATTTCAATGACGCCAAATCGCCTCGCACGCCGGACTCGCAGTCTTCCGGCAGAGGCTTTTCGATATTTAAGCGCCGCAACTCGAAGGGCAGCAGTCCACGCCCCGCTCTGGTCGTCAATCCGGAACAGATGCGTCTCATCACATCGGCCAATCTGGATACGACGGCAACGATGGCCTTTGGCAGTCCGCGCGGCAGCTTCAACTCGCTGGGCGGTTTCTCACAAGTGAGTATAATTTTGTTCTTCTCTTTCTTGTTGCCCATAAAATTCCAATTTATCATGTCCGATCTGCACAACTTCCTGTTTGCCATTTGCCATGAACATAACAAGCATTTAGCATTTAGCATTTAGCATTTACCATTTGCCACTCTCCACAGCAATCGTTTGAAATGCAGCCGCTGATGTATTGCCAGCGCTCGGCCGAATCATTTCGCGAACGGCTCGGCTCCTGCAATGAGACGCACAGCTCCCAGTGCCCCGGAGGCGGTGCCGAGCATGACGAGGTCTTTAACGCAAGGTGAGTTCGTGCTGCCTGTTGACAGGATGCAGCTGTTGACAGTTTGCCAAACAGTTCAAGCTACACCCCGGCCCGCCCCCAGCTCCCATTGCTAGCGCCCATCCCCTAGCCATTCATTAGCATTGACTGTGCTAATCGCGCGTACATCGCTCCTCTTTCATCTGCCCTCATCCACAGCAAGTCCCAGCGGCATCACACACTACCCAGCGGCGGCACACGTCGTCACTCCTTCGGCAACTGGGCACAGCAACAACAACAACATCAACAACAGCAACAACAGCAGCAGCGACAATTCAACACATCCGGATCTACATGCACATCGCCATCGATTGGAGCCAGCTCCCCGGATGAGGTGCCCAGCATGTTGGCTCCGCGACCCCCACTGCTGTCGCCCAACAAATTTCGCGGCCCATCCTATCGCAGAAGAGGTGAGTGAACCAAATATTTGCTATAAAATATGAGCTTGCCAATGCAGTATATAGAAATATTTACACCTGCCTTAAGGCAGATGACACAAGATCTGAAAAATCGGAAATGGCATAGAAGAATTTATATGTTTAGTTTGGCATAGTAAGCCCTGAAATGAGCCGAATTGGTGCTTTATATATAAACCATGACAAGAAAGTATAGACAAAGGCAAATACATCATTTATAAGGCTAAGTATTTTTACAACAGCTTAAAAGATATTACATATTGCATATAGCAAGAGCTCTGGTCTATTGAATTTCCCTAAGTTATATCTCTTCAATGTAAACTACGTTTAAATTTATTTAAATGGTTCGTTAACAAAGTGAGATACCAACTTTGATTCTAGAGTATAAATATATGCCCTATAGTAACTCCAGATCTCTATCAGTCCTTTGCTCAACCCCTATCTCTCTATCCCTTTCTCTCCCTTATGATTAGATTCACTTTTCATTATATAATCCCGATCTATATACAAATTCAGTTTAACTAACTCTAACACTTCTAGATATTATAAGCAAGTCTATAAATTCCGTTAGCACAGTGTGACAGCAGCTGTCCGTAGTGGTGCTAGAGCCTGCTAGGAAAGTCAAGTGCAATGCATTATGTATGTAGATATATGACATACATATGTATGTGCATATATTTAAATAAAAAACAGATTCCATTTGCTGGCCTCGTTTCACGTTCGCATTTTTGCACTTTGGCGGCTGTCAGCTTGATGGGGGCCGATCCCGAGAAACGCGCGCTCTGCCACTCGGTGCATCACGTTTGCATATTAAGCACAGCTCCCCCAACCACCACCTATGCCGCCTCCCGATATTTGCCTTTTGCCAGGCGCCACGGGTCTGTGGTCTCTGCCACTTTAACAACATTTAAATGTTTACGCAAGTGATAATTGTTGTTGTTGTTGCTGTTGTTGTTGCTAGTGGACAGTGTCGCCAGTGTGTCGCGAGAGTTGGGCTTTGTTTTGAGCCGTAATGAGCTGGGCACCATCTCAGCTGACGCTAGCTTCTGGCCCGGCCCGGCCCAGCACTGGCTTGACATTGACAGTTGCTGTCGTCTCAGCGTGATGAATGCCACCGAAATGGGGAGCTGCATGCCTGATTGCCCCCTATTCAGGTCCCAAGCTCACGAATTTCCGATGACTCTGCGCAGTTACAGTCATAACTCGATGGTTTATGAAATGCTCAGGACAATTTATTTATAGCCTGCCACTCGTATGCAACTTCAAGGCCCTGTAGTCACGGGGAACATGGAGCCACTTGAGGGAATACTTGAGCATAATCTGAAAAGATTATCAACTCAATATTTAGACTACTCTATAGGGCACTTGAATCTAATAGATACAATGTAGATATGAATAATTCAGTAGAGTCTCAATAATTCGAAATGGCAAGGGGATAAGTTTTTTTTTTTTTTTTTTTTTTTTTTGATTAGCACAGAAATTCAAGTTATCTAGAATTATCGAGAACGAATTTTTTTCAAGGATATAAATTTTTGTTTTTCAATTCATCGCGATTTTCGATTAAGCGTGGTACAAATTATTGAGACTCGCCTGTAATTAGAAAGTTTTACGGGCTCAGAATTTTCAAAAATTATTTCAATAGATTACTAAGATTAACATATAATAATTAATTTATATATTTATTTAATTTATATATTTATGTTGGGGTTTTCCTTGAGTTCCTTGTCCAACATTTAGTCCAACGTATCTCTATGCATGAGCACTTCTATGTCAGCCTCTCTTTGACCCAATACGCAACTTAGTTTGCTTTTGGCATTCGTTGTCATTTGCTGCATTTGCGCAGGCTAACTGCAAATTGGTTCTGACAGGCCCCACGCATAGAGAAATTATGGCTTGGGCTGACCATTTGCGTCGTCGGCTGGACAATTGCAATTCCTATGCCACTTTGTCGCAACGAGCGCACGGCAATTGACACACTTTTTTCATATTTTTTAACACCTAAATTTATGGCGAAATTAGAAAAAACAAAAACAACAGCAAATTTCCCTGCTGGCCTGTGCCATATTCAGGCAGTTCAAATACTAAAACGAGTTCATAATTTCTTTCAAATTGTGCAGCTATCAAATAGCAATATGCAAATTAGATAAACATAGCCGCAAGCTCTGTGTCTGTATGTGTGCGTGTGTGTGTATCTGTGAGGCACACATTTCCGGCAAAGTGCGGCTGCAGTTGCAATTGTCGGAATATGTTGACGCTGTGCAACATGGCGGATGCGCAACCTGCACGAAAAAGGCAAAAGGCAAATGGCAAGAGGCAAGAGGCAAACAACAACAGCAACAACAACAATGGCAACAATTGACAAGAGTCAATAAACGAATCGCAGTGCTCCGCCCGCCCCAGTGGGTGTGGCAGCCATGACAAGCAGAAACATAAATTGAAAATGTGCACAATTGTCAATAAGCGAGCCGGCAGAGTCGAGCTGGCCAACAGGAACTTTGCATAATTGTTAGCCAGCCGCTGGGCATTGACTGTTTGGCCAACTGGCTGGGCGTGTGTTTGTTGTTCAAACGTGTTAATGGCACGGAAGCGTGAACTCCCCACATGCACTCAATACAAACAGTCAACTGTTTAGCATATGGCGCGTGCCAAGCAAACATTTGGCCAAATTTGGCCAGCATGCTTTTGGCCAATGCTGCATACGAAAACGAATACGAATACGACTGCAAATACAAATACACGTACATCAAAGGCAAACACAAACGTAAACAGACTTTTAGCAGGCAATGTGCCGCAGATCACTTTAATTACTGCTGCTGCTGCTGCTGCTACTGCAGCAGGTAATTTGAGGTCAAACGTCAGAATGGCTATTGCAATGCGTTTGCACTTGTTTATGATTGAGTGGCGCATTCGATTCGATTCTCAGAACATCTGCTCAGCCGATTACAGCCGACACAAGCGAGCCGCCTCTGTGGCAGCTCGAGTTCAATACACTGGCTAGAGGTCGGCACAGTCTGACTTGTGCACTGTGCATAACAAAGCAGAAGTTACCAAATACAAATCCTATGGAAAGCGTCGTTGCTGATATTGAATTTCCTTGACCGCGCATATGCCATATCCAGCTACAGGCCCCAGCAGACCCAAAAGGCAGCCAACACCTGTTGCATTCATAAATATTATTATACCAAAGACATTTCGAATCTCAGCATATTTCATTTACATAATTTCGGGTCTGTGCGGAGGTCTGTCGAGGATAACACAGCATAACAAGCGTGCTTACATTTTGCTCACGTCCCAATCTGAAGTTTCCTTTTTGTTTATTTCACTTCTACTTCGTCTTCTTCTTCATCTTTGTGTACTCCTCTGTGGCTGACTATTTTTAAATGCTTTCTCACATATGCGAGTGTGTTGTTGGCGACAGGCGCACAGTGGTGCAAGGCTTATGCAAATTTTGTTTTGGATTCATGTAAAAATATCAAATGAAACGGAAGGAAACTTCTGTTTGTTTCTTGTTAGAAACATGTGAAGGGACAAAGTTGTGTTTTCATTATGGAAATATTCGAATTCTTATGCCGTACTGGTTATTGTATGTATGTACATATACAGCTCTATTTCGCTGTGTCCCGTCCTTTGTTTCTCCATTATCCTTTCTATATGTGTACAATATCTATGCCATATTGCTTTCTCTCTCTTTCGGTTGCTCATCTATTTCTTTTTCTCGATGTCTCTATCTCTAATACTATTATCCTCCACTCTCTCCCTCTCGATCTTTCTCTTTCTTTCACTCTCTTCTCTATTTCAATTGCTTTTCTTCCTCTATATTCCTCTCTATTCTCTTTCACACTAAGTTACCTTATTATATCATACTAAGAAAGACTGTTCTTAGTTCTCTTAAAGTTTTATATGAAAACCATTTGAGATTTGCGTACTTCCATAATTCTTGACGTCAATTTATATGCTGAGAAATACATTTATACATATAGATATAAATATGTATATACATTTACATTATCTTTATATGATATCTTCCCTGGCACATTTAAATTTATTATATTTATAGCGACTGCCTGCTGCCCTTGTCTGCAGTTTTTGTCACTGTCATTTCAATCAAAATTTATACCCTCACACATATATATATATATATAAATATACATATACATATATATTTATTATATCTGACTGCTACTGTCTCCAATCCATTTGTAACTTTAGGCGATTCCTAACTGTTCTCGCTCGACGCATTTGGCTAGAGAATAACGCAACTGGCAACGAAATAAAAACAAAAACAAATGCAATAATGAAAATAAGGGAATAGCTCGACAGAAAAAAAAAAAAAAAAAACAATCAAATTGGCTCGGCAGCCCACTTAAAATGCCATAATTCCGTTTATAGCCTGGTTTGCAACTGGGATGCCAACTCGCTGGCTTCCACTTAAAATGGACACTGTGTAAATTAAACGTCACGGGCACGTACAACAACAACAACAACAGCTTTGACATTTATTATTTTATAATCTTTGCATTATTTATCGAGAGACAGAGAGTGTATTACACAGAGAGAGAGTGTGTGTTGAGTGCGCCCTCTCTCTGGCTTTGGCTCTCTCTCTCAACTACTTCGATTGCTCATTATTATTCTTGGCATTCAAATCGCTTTGAGCTGAGCTTGGCCGACAGCTTTAGCCAGCCACCGTCCGCCAGTTGAAGTTGAAGGACTGTCGCAACTTGACGTTCCGCATGCGCATTCAAAGTGAACTCAGAGCCAGAGCTACAAGTGTGTGACTGTGTGTGTGTGTGTGTGTGTGCATCTGTGCGATGCACCTTTGAAGTGCATCTAGCTACGACAACCAATCGATATAGTTCACTCTACAAAAATGTTGCTCAAAATTGAAGATATCGAAATGGAAACGTTCTGCTGCGGTGAGTACTTGTCCATAGGGTATTGAATGTGGACCCCACGTAAAGCCAATTAAGAGTAAAAGGAAAACACTTGGCATAATT